TTCAAAAGTTCAGTAGACACAGGTGGCTACTGACCACATAGGATACTACATAATGCCAATCTAAGGAAGCACAGCAAGAGAGGCTATTTGGATTATCAGAGTCAGTCCCTGAAGCTGAAAGACAGGAAAGAAAGTCAGTGTTTAGCTTCAATATTCTTTTTATGTGTGAGTGTTTTGCCTGCATGGGTATGTGTACCTGTGTCATGTAATACCCACAGAGACCAGAAGAGGGCATTGAATCCCCTGGATCTGGAGTTACAGATAGTTGTTAGGGCCATGTGGGTGCTGGGAACTGAACTTGAGTCCTCTGCAAAAGCAGCCAAATGTTCTTAAATGCTGAGCCATCTCATCACCCCCTTCAATAATCTAATTTTTTTAAAAATGTATTACACAGCTAGGGGTAGTGATGCACACCTTTAATCCCAGCACTCAGGAGGTAGAGGCAGGTAGATCTCCATGAATTGGAGGCCAGCCTGGTCCATATAGAGTTCCAGGCTAGTCAGGGCTTCAAAGTGAGATTTTATCTCAAAAGACAACAAAAACAAAACAAATTTTTATTATAGGCCAAATGTGGTGGCACATGCCTTTAATCTCAGAATTCAGGAGGCAGAGGCAGGTAGACCTCTGATTTCAAACCAGCCATAGCCACACAGTGAGACCCTGTCTCAAAAAAAAAAAAAAAGAAAAAAAATCCATTTATTGGGGGGTGGGGGTAGTGCATGCATGTATGGCATGCCAGTAGAGGGCAATCTGTGGGACTGAACTCAGGTCATCAGGCTTGGCAGCAAGCCACTGAGCTATCTTACTGCTACTGTGACCTCCCCCACTTGATGTTTGAAGTAAATGAGTTAAACATAAAAATAACAAACAGTAGTGGGCTATTTCATCAAATTGCCAGTAATCTGGCAGTCCTTGTTTGGAATCAAAGTCCTGTACAGTATTGATTTTATAACAACTACTTTTTTTTTCAATATATATTTTTATTAAATTTTTGTGTACTTCATACATCTTAATCATATTTAGACTCCCTCCCCTATCTGTACCCCCAGAGCCTTTGTACATTTTAATTAGTCTTGCTGTAATTTTGGAATTATCCATAATCTCTTCTTTCCTCACCAGTTCCCTAAACACACATCCCCCTCAATTCACTAAACTGTTGCAAAATTATCCAAGAAGAACCACTTCCAGGGGGCTGGAGAGACTGCAAACCTGTTAAGAGTTCTTGCTACTCCTGCAGAAGGGATCCAGGCTGTTTCTATCATGCACATGGTGGCCCACAACCACCTGTAACTCTAGTTACAGGGGATCCGATGTCCTCTTCTGGCCTCCTCCGATACCAGGCTCATACTTAGTGCACATAAATACATGTAAGCAAACACTCATACACATAAACACAATCTAAAAAATAAAACTACTTCCATCGGCTTTCTACAACCTGAGCAAATTTTTAATCTACAGGTATGAACGATGGGAAGAGAGACAGGATTTCAGAAAGGGAATGCAAATGTTTCAGAACTAAAACTAACAAAAAGATGCAGTGTCACTCAGAAGTTCCCAGAAATAAACTGGAGTCGTACCAGTTCAGAATGTTCCAGACAAGTCTCCAGTTACAATGAGTATTCTAAAAAGAAAAGGGGCCAGATACCCTTCAATCACTTAAATGGTGACTCAACTCACCCACATAAACAGGTAATTGCCAGAGCAGTGTGGCTTCGGTAGGGACCAAAGTAATCTAGAAAAGCTCCCTGTTACCTTCCTGCTCCTACTCCAACCAAACCCCCAGGAGAATCACAGCAGGACTACTCTGAAAGACTTGGTTGGCCTTCACTTTGTCATGTGTGGGTGCCAGCTGTGCACTGGGGACTGAACCCAGAACCTAACTCACACACACACACCAGGTACACACTGAGCTACATTCCTAACATTTCCTTTTCTTAACTCACTAACCAAATTTCCCTTAGCTAATCTGCCCAGAGTACCTATCATAAGTTGAAACAAGCTCTACTTGTGGAAAAGCAAACTGCTGCCAGGTAGGGATGGGGAGTCTTAACTGTAAGAAGACTGTATTCACAGTGGCAATAAGTATATCATTATCCAAGTTTAAAACAAACTGCTGAACAAACTCTCCAACAGAATGCTTATTAGTTTTTCACCTTATTTTTACCAAATGAAATCATTAATTTACCCGTGTTTCCTAGCGCTTAAAATGTAAACTTATTGAGAAAACTGAAAATTTTAACTCGGTGGTTCTCAGCTCTTTGATCAGTTGTTATCCAGAAACCTGTCCTTGTCAATTAGCTTTTTGCTTTTATTTATTGTGTGTGGTGTACCCACAGATGCATACAAATGTGTGTGCACATGCAGAGGCTAGAGACTATCTTCCTCTATTACTCTCCACTTTGAGACAGTGTATCTCAGTGAACCTGGAGCTCACTTATTGAGCTAGACTGGCTGACCAGTGAGTTCCCAGGATCAGCCTGTCTCATTTCACACCCAAGCTCTGGGGTTACAGAAATGCTCCACTATGCCTGGCTTTCACATGGGTGATAGGGATCAGAACTCAGGTTGTGCTTAAGCAGCAAGCATTTACCCACTGCCATCTCTCCAGAACCAGGTTTTGCTTTATTTTTTAAATAAGTGGGAGGACGAGGCACATGTGCCACAGTGAACACATGGAGATAAAGGACAACTTTGTGGAGTTCTCTCCTTCTACCTTTTAAGTGTATTCCTAGGCATGAGCTCGGGTCGCCAGGCTTGTCAGACTTGGGAGGCAATAGCTTTACCTTGCTGAGCCATCTCACCCACCCACGTTTTGCTTTTAAAAAGTAAAATGAGCTGGGTCTAGCATAGGCCTTTAATGCCAGTACTCAGTAAGCAGAGGCAGGCAGATCTCCAAGTCTGAGGCCAGCCTGGTCTACATATCAAGTTCCAGGCCAACCAAGGCTGTATAATGAGACCATGTCTCAAAAAACAAAGAAAAAACCATAAAATTAATGAGAATATTACTCTTTAGTGTAAACGACTTCATGAGGCCCCTTGAACTCAGAGACCCACCTGCCTCTGCCTCCCAAATGCTGGGATTAAAGGTGTGTGCCATCACACCTGGCTTTTTTTTTTTTTATGCTGCTTATATATTTTGTTTTCTATGATGATCATGCATTAGTGTGAAAACTAGAAGAAAACAACCAAGCAAGTGGAAAAGGTCCCCATGCCAATCAACTGTTGTGCTGGATTGACATGCCACAATCACTAGGTAAAAAAACATTCAGGGTCAGTGAAGATGGAACCTTGCTTATCTAGACATGCTCACCTACATTCAGCCTTGGAATACACAATGTATACACTACTTCTGGTAGAGCATGATAGAAATCATTAGGGAAAATAAAAATGCTTTCTCTGGAATAAACAGTAAGACCCTTGCAAAATAAGAAAGTATAGCCAAAGGTGAATGCTGGTGTCTGAGTCACAAGGTGGAAAAAAATACACCTACTAAAAAATCGATACCCTTTTCCTTTAAAATGGTCCATTTTATGTCAGTTTCATCTCAATTTGCAAAAAAAGCAAACCTTGAAAATATATCAGATTAACAAACATTGTTTAAACATTGCTTGAACCAATTAGTTCATCAGTGCAGAAGCTGTTGTGGCGACAGCGGTGGTCTGGTATAGAAAAGAATACAATGTAAAGCTGTTTACTCGCCTGCCATCATAGAGCTTACAGCAGCAGTGGAGTGAGTGGTTAAGAGTCAACAGGTCAGAAAGACAGGCCACAGTCAGGAGCGATTCTGCTTTTAATGGGGAAAAAAAAAAAAAGGCACCATCGGGTTTTAAAAAAAAAGAGTTGTGAGAGATGAGCAAGCAAGATTTTAACAGACGAAAAAGCAGAGTATCGGACTTGGCAGGGTGGATCTCATCAAGATAGCACAGTCACCCCTCCCTCCTCTTGCTTAAGTGTACAAATAGATTGATTGAAAAGGGGCTGAAATCCAACTAATCCACATAAAAAAGCTCAAAGAAATGGCATCAAATTCAGCAGCGTTCGTGTGCCAGGAAGGCAGTGACTATTCCATTTTGCCTTCTACAGTACCTATAATACCAAACTCAAGTGAGATCCTGGCTCAAAAATAAACTATCAACCTGCTCCCGAGCGCACACTGGCCTCGCCAGCCTTTGCGGGGACCCCGAGACGCCGGCGGGGGGGGGGCCCTAGCAGGACCAGGACCTCGGCCTCCGCCCTCCCAAGGTGCGCCAGGGTGTTTACAGAACCACCGGCTGGGGCCATCAGCACTCCCTCGCAGGCGGGGCCTCGGGCCCCCGCGACGCCGACTGGTAAACACCAGGCCTGGGGACCCACTATCCACCGAAGGTGGGCGGCGTGGGCTCGATGCACAAAGCATCCCGAACCCGCGGCCACGCGCGCACACCCCCCCCGCGCGGGCCCCAGCCCCGCCCCGCCGAGCCGGACCGCAGCAGACCGCGCGCTGCCTAACCGCCGCGGCCGCCGGAGCACGCATGCCACCCAACTGCCGTCCCGGCCCAACCAACGCGGGCAGGGGAGGCGAGGTGCGCGCGGCCGGCGGAGCGTGTGAGCCGCTTGGGGGTCGCGGGGGGCGGGCTGCGCGCCTATAAGGCTAGGGCAACGACCCGCCGCAACCCGCGCCGGACGCGGAGCCAGGACGGCCTCCCGAAGCGGGCCGGGGCCCCTTCCCCTTAGAAGGTACAGATGGTTTGACCCCCCACCCCGAGCGAGGTGCCTTGTCCCAGCCCCGGCTGGACTGTACCATCGGGCGGTGCCGCCGGGATTTCTCCCCCCCACCACTACCATCAGTTCCCCCCCCCCCAACCCGGGTCCGCGGTCGGTTGGCCCCGGCCGGGCTCTGAGACGCGGAAAGAGTTGGGCGCCATTTTGGGTGGGACTAAGCAAAAACGAAACACTCTCCCAGTCGATGGGGTACTCTGGACCCTGCTTTATCCAGTTCCCTTAATCCTTTAGGTACTTACACGACGTTGGGTGAGGGGAGCTGGAAGATCAGCGGGTCCCCGATCCTCTCTCCCTAGGGGTGATGGAAATCAAACCCCCCCGCCGCCTCCAGGTGGTTCTTCCCGCCGCAGAGTGGGAGCAGCATAAAAGGCGGGGTCTTATTAGCATAATCTGCCTGGCAACCTGATCTTGATGTTATGTGATTGGTTAAACTCTGTAAGTCCCATGCTGTGCCTAGAGACGAGAAACGCGGGGCCGAACTGACGAGCCCAGATTTGAGAGTCATGACGAAAATTCTGAGCCGCTAATTCACTCGGCAGAGAAGCCAAAAGGAGATTCACACAATGGCCCAATGACTGAAGCCCTCTTTATTTCGTGCTCTGCTGTTCATGTAAAACCCAATAGAAGTGCGGGTCTCTGGCGGTGCTTGCCTGCGTTTGTAATCTAAGCCAATCAGAAAGCCCGATTCTTGCATCCAGGGTCAAGGCCTTTCTGGGGACCGTGGCGCGGAAGTGGAGGGAAACGGTCCAGCGTGCCCGGGTGGCCACCGTGGATGGGCCACTGCGCCCCCGGGTTTCCTTGCCCACCTTACCCCCACATGGAAGGTATCTGGGGCCTGGAAGCCTCTGGAAGTGTGGCACATGTCTTCCCAACCTGGCGCGGAGTTGCATCCGAATCCATTGGCTTGCGGGGCTCGGACAGAACTGAACCTTGGCACCACGCAGCGCAGGGCTGGGCGCGTCAGGGACACGCCTTTCTGAGACCACAGTTTCCAATCTAACACCTAGGGACCGTTCTGTAATCAGTCCCGTTGTACCTTAGAGCGCCTGCACTAGTGTCTCTTTTCAATCATTTACCAGTCTGGAGCAGGATTTTCTCGTAACAATCGAGGTGGAGATGTGGCTCAATTGATGGAGTGCTTCTCTAGCATGCATGAAGCCCTGGGTTAAATCCGCAGCACCTCATAAAACTAGCAAGGTTGGGGCGCCAAGCAGATAGGGGCTGGAGAATCAGAAGTTCAAGGCCAGCTTGGACTACTTGAGATCACCTTGTCTGGCGGTGGTGGTGGAATACTGGCTAGCCAAATGACTTGCTTGTTTCCTAACCAGACATAAACATCCTTGTATCCCTTAGGATTGCCTTCTCAAAGTACAGCCACGTGCATAGAAGCCTGTGCTCAGGCTTTGGAATGAGACATTCGGATCAACTTAACCCACTGCTAACAGGAATTGAAGCTACAAGTCAGAGCGCCTACAAGGCTCTGCGCATAAGAATTTTGCTCTCCACAGCCTTGGCCTTGCTGCTGCTTTGAAGAGTAAATGAGATGATATTCTAAAATACTAAGCAAAGTACTTTTTTAGCACACTGTTTGGAATTTAACAAGTGTTAGTAATGATAAAACTTACCAAGTGATAGCCAGGTAGCTCAAGTACATGATCCTAACTCTTGGGGGCCAAAAGCTAGACGGAAGACTGTTGAGTTTGAGGCTAACCTTGGCTACATAATGTAGTTCCAGGTCAGCCACGGCTCTACAGCAAGATTCTGTTTCAAAACAGCCAACAAAATGGCTGAACTATTGGTTAACCAAGAAAAAGAGAGAAAATGCTACTAAGCAAAAGATGAGAGAATAGAAAACCCACAGAGAACTAAAGCTCCTTTAACTATATTGCTTACAGGTTTGTTTGTTTTTGTTTTGTTTTGTTGGTCTTTTTGAAGCAGGGTCTCCCTGTAGCCCCACCTGGCCTGGAACTCACTATGTAGATCCTGCCCTCCTCTGCCTCCCAAGTGCTCCGATTAAAGCCATGGGCCACCATGCCGGACTTGCTTACAGTTTTTAAATAACTGTAAACTTTTTATTTATTTTATTTATATGTTATTTTTAAATAACAGCAAACTTTTTATTTATTTGATCTTTTTGAGGCAGGGTCTCTCTGTAGCCTCAGCTGGCCTGGAACTTGCTATGTGAACCAGGCTAGACTAACTCTCACAGAGATTTCTCCTGCTAAGATTAAAGGCATACTCCACCAAGCCCAGCCAGCAAAGCCTTTGATCCCAGTGCTGGGGAGGCAGAGGCAGGCGGATCTCTGTGAGTTCAAGGCTAGCCTGGTCTACACAGTGAGGTCCAGGCCAGCTAGAGCTACAGGGAGAACTTGTCTCAAAAAGAAAAAGAAAAAAAAAAAGATGTCATGCCAGACATGGTGATGCATGCCCTTAATCCCAGCACTTGGGAGGCAGAGGCAGACTGATCTCTGTGAGTTCATGGCCAGCCTGATCTACATAGTGAGCCCCAGGTCAGCTGGGGCTACAGGGAGACCCTGTCTCAAAAAGACAAAAAAAAATAAAATTCAAAGAGATAGCTGGGCAAGGTGGTGGCACATGCTTTTAATCCCAGCACTCTGGAGGCAAAGGCAGGCAGGTCCCTTGAGTTTGAGGCCAGCCTGGTCTTCGTATCAAGTTCCAGGCCAGCCAGGGCTGCATAGTGAGACCCTGTCTCCAAATAATTTTAAAGTTAGGACAGCATTGTAAGGTAGCAGTAACCCAATGAAGGGACCATGTCTTGTTTTCCATGAACTCCAGGAGCAGCCCTGGACATGGAATACAGGCTCTCAGTAATAAGCCTTGCTGAATTTAGTTGAAAGCATGAAAGGAAGGCTGATAAGGCAGACCCACATTTATGGTGAGCAGCACTAGTCACTCTCTGAGTACATACACAAGGAAGCCGTTTGCTTTCAAGTGGTTATATAAGTCTCTGGAATGGTCCCTCAGTGCTATGAGCAGACAGTGACAGAAGTGGACAGATCCTCTGTGGCCTTGGAAAGCTGACATCTCCTATACCCAGGGCCTCTAATGAGATGACTCTTTTTTGAGATTTAACTACATTACATCTCTGATAGACTGAGAGGCCAGCTTATCAGAAATGACCCAAAATAGACCTCACTAGGAGAAATGAGTCTGACTAGGAAATAAATGTTCTGAAGCCTTTCTTTTTGGAGTGAGGTTATAATGTATGATATGAGGAAGCCAACTTTTATACTACATATTTCTTTTTGTTAATGTCTTGGTTATTATCACATTTACAGAGGTCTTCATTACTGTTCTTGTGTGTGCCTGTGTGTGCGCTGCTGTATGCAGATGTGCATGCACATGTGTGAAGGCCAGAGGTCAACCTCAGGTATGTTCCTCAGGATGGCTGTCCATCTTATTTTCCCAAAGCAATCTTTCTTTTTAAATTTATGTGTATGTGTCTATGTCTGTGTGTTTATGTGTACACACAGCATATGCATGCACCATGTGTGTTCAGGTGCCCTCAGAGGCCAGAAGAGGGCATCAGATCCTCTGGAGCTGGAATTACAGGGGGGTTATGAGCTGCCCAATGTAAATGCTAGGAACCCAACTCAAGTCCTCTGGAAGAGCAGTAACCACTCAACTGCTGAGCCATCTCTTAGTCCCCCATCTTGTTTTTTGAAATTAGTTCCCTCACAGGGATCTGGGGCTCACAGATTAGACTAGGTAGGCTGGCCAGTGAGACCTAGGAATCCTCCTGTCTGTCTCCCTAGCGATGGGATTACAAGCACACTGCACCATGTCTAGCTTTTTATGTAGGTTCCAAAGATCACATTGAAGTCCTCATGCTTATGTATTCAGCAACTGCTTTATGACTGAGCTATCACCCAAACTTTAGTATTTGTTTTTATGGTATTGTGGATTGAACCCAGTAACTCATGCATGCTAGGCAAAAGCCTTACCACTGATCTATATCGCCAGCTCTTGTTTTAATTTTTTAATTTTCAGATGGGAATCTCATTAAATTGCCCATACTAGCATTGAACCCTTTATGTAGCCCAGGCAGGCCTTGAATTTTGAATTTTGAGTCTGCTGCTACAGCCTCCTGAGTAGCTGAAATTACAAACCTGTTTTGCCAGGCTTGCTCTAAAACTTTGAAATGCACAAATATTTCAACAATGCATCATCCTATCAACAAAAATCTGCTTTCTATGATGTGACTTCTTGACTTCTTCCTTTTTTTTTTTTTTTTTTTTTTGAGGTAGGGTCTCCCTGTAGCCCCAGCTGGCCTGGACTTGGACTGGCTATGGAGACCACGCTGGCCTCAATCTCACAGAGATCTGCCTGCCTCTGCCTCTGCCTCCCTAGTGCTGGTATTAAAGGCATGCACTCCATGCCCAGCTGTGACTTTATATTTTTATAAAAAATTTTACGCATGGTAGCATTTACTGTGCAGGAAGTACTTACGTACTTATGGAATGTGTACCATGTCCCAGTCATTGCTCTAAGCAATGAAGAGGGAAGAGAGAACAACACAAAAGTTCATAGACAATCCAGTCAAATGGAGGCAAGAGAAGAAAATTCACAAGTAGTTCCAAGGGAAGGTGTTAGGAAGAAAAGAAAGCAGGGAAATCCAAAGGAAGAAGGAATGCTGAGAGTTGGAATGTGGTATCAAAAATGTTCTAGCATTGGAGGGATGACTCATTCGGTAAAGGGTTTGCCTTACAAAGACAAGGTCTCAAGTTTGATCCCCAGAACTCATGTAAAAGACTCCCTGCACCCATGTAAAGCCATGCATGGTGGCACATGCCTCCCCAACTCTGGGGCGGCAGAGACAGGAGGTATCCATGGGGCTCGCTGCCTAGCCAAAGAAACATAATTGATGAGATCCAGGCCAGTGAGAGACCTTGTCTCAAAGGAGGTGGATAGCATGGCATTTCTCAGGATGGCACTAAAGGTTGTCCTCCAGCCTCCGCACACAGGCGAGCATGTACACAAACACACACACACACACACACTTATACTTTTAAAAAAGTCCTTCCTAGATACTAATGAGAGCTGGGACTAGAACGACAAAGCAAAAGAAGGCCAACCATGTACCCCATATTAAGATCTTGGGAAACATTCCAGCCATTGAAAATAGCAAATATGAAGCCCTTGAAGTTAAAGGGGGGAAAAAAAAACATTGGGCTGGCAATATGGCTCAGTAGGTAAAGGCATTTGGCATACAAGCCTGATGACCCAAGTTCCATCCCTGGAACCCACATAGAGATGGAAGAAGAGGGGGCTGGAGAGATGGCTCAGTGGTTAAGAACACTGTTCTTGCAGAAGACCTGGGTTCAAATCCCAGCATCCATATGGCAGCTAACAACTGTCCATAACTCCAGTTCCAAGGGATCCGACAGCCTCTTCTGTCCTCCAAGGGTATTGCAGGACATGGGTGCACTTACCTACATGCAGGCATAACATTCATACACATAAAAAAAAAAAAAAAGATCGAAGAACAGAACCAGCTGCACAAGGTTGTCATCTTTCCTCCATAAGCATGCTGTACACTATGACATGTACATGCTGCCCCCCCCCATCATGCACATAATTTTTTTAGGGGTCTGGAGAGATGGCTCGCTTAGCAGTTAAGAGCACTGGCTGCTCTTGCAGAGGACCTGGTTCAATTCCCAGTACCCACATGGCAGCTAACAGTCGTCTATAACTTCAATTCCAGGGGAATCTGACACCCTCTTCTGACTTCCATGGACATTGTACAACACAGGCGCACCTACACACTTCCAGGCAAAACACTCAGACACATAAAATATTTTTATGAAAAGTAATTGTTTGAAATCATGGTATGCACAGATTCACCTATTCTTTGGGG